ATACATCTTCTTTAACCATTCATTAGTTGATGGACATTTTTTAAAGTTTATTTTGAGAGAGAGGGAGAGAGAGAGCATGGAGGAGAGGCACAGAGAGAGAGAGAGAGAGGGAGAGAATCCTAAGCAGGCTCCATGCTGTCAGCAGGAGGCCAATTTGGGACTCTACGTCAGGAACTGTGAGGATGACCTGAGCTGAAATCAAGAGTCAGATGCTTAACTGACTGATCCACTTAGGTGCTCCAATAGTGAGAGCCTTGAAAAGTTTGGTTTGGTGCAAAGATTTTGTGGTACAAACACGGTACATTTGCTTCCTTGTGAGACATGTCCAGAAAGGGGCGGGGGACCAGTCCATGGGTTATCTATCACATGTCCTTGTTCAAACCTATGGTCATGCCATGTATGTTTCGAGAAATAATATTTCCCAAAGCAGTGCTTCTTAGGCTTTTGGTCAGTCTGGGGCTTACCTGGGGCTTCAGATAAGGCTTAAGATAAGGAGGAAGGAAGAGTTATGCCTTTCAGATGAGTGCCTAATTGTTAAATTCTTCATTCCTCATCCTTCTTTTCTCCTCTTGTTCAATTACTCCTTCTTCCTCCTTATCTGTGAAACACATTCATCAACTGTTAGCACTTCTTCATTCAGGAATGGATAGATTTAACAGTTGTAAGGAGACCTTGAGAGCTTTATCTACACACATTTCATAGTTTTGATATATTTAAACACACTGGTCGGTCTGAAGGCAGCAGGGAGTAGGTGGGTAATGAGTTACAGCACTGCTTTGCCTTGTTAAGGAACATCACCAGAATGTTTAAATGGGGTTTCCATCTAGTCCTATATGCTGTAAGTTAAGAAAGTGGATAAATCTCTATAACTGGCTGTAGAATTTTTTTTTTCCATCAGGCATTCATTTGAGTCACAAAAGAAGAACTATATCCAATAAGATATATGCAGGTTGACAAGTGGCTTATTTAACTTAATACAGGAAAATATAAAATAATGGAAACTAGGTCAAAAATGGCAAAAAGGATTAGGGCTTGAATAGAGACAGGCTTCCAGACAATGAAGGGAAGGGGATCTGGCAGTAATAGTGTCTGTAAAGCCCAACCCATCAGCTTCATGTCTGGCAGTAATTAGGAGGCCGAAGGAATACTGTAATGAATCAACTGAGGACAAGAATGGAAAAGAGAAAGGGTTGATAGGCTCTGTGAAGCTGGATGGCCTTACAGAGGAAGGGGAGGACTTGCAGGAGGCAGTCCCCTGAGTTAGAAAGAGACAGCAGGAGAGCCTCTTCTCTGTCCTCTTTGTGGGTGGTCGGGTGACGGACATACCGGAGAGAGGAGACAGAGTGGTCAAAAGAGGAAGTGTTGAGAGGGGCAGGAGGTTACCTATCATGATGACCTGTGGGGAGTTCAGGTGCTACCACTCATGACTTCCTCAGGTTCCCTGGCTTGCCCCCTGTGGGCCTTGTGGCCCACCTGTCACTGTTAATTTCCATCCATCTCTTTGAAACTAGACTCGAAGGAAGAGTTAGCTCCTTACTAGGATCCGTCTTAGTTAGGACCCCTCCATCTTTTCTAACATGCTGCTACTGAATCCTTTCTCCCTCCAGCCTCCTGATTCCCAGGGAGGGCAAGCACACTCAGACATGACAGCTTTTTGGACTTCAGCACTGGGTTCTCCAAGACTTGCCAGTCTGTTCCGTTATTTAACCAGGACGCATACCAGCTGGGTTGAAGAGTGCAGCTGGATGTCTTTCAAGGCTCATCTGAGCTTCAGCTGCAGTGTATTTTTTGTGTTTGTCTACATCAGGGTTGCCAGTTCATGCTGGGAAGCTGCGCAGGAATCCTTTCTCTTCCATTTGCTCTGCAGAACACCATGTGCAAGGCGGTGTCCAGTCCACACTCTGAGGCAGTTAGGATTGCTACAGAAACAGGGGAATGAACTTTGCGAAAAGAACCATAGGCTCAAATAGACATGCTGAGCTCTGGAATCTGAATTCAAATATGGCTCTTCCCTGGCATTTGAAACAAACACAGTATCCCAGGAGGATGAGAAAAGCATGGTCCACATGGTGTCTTTGTTGAGTCAGTCCTCAGCGGGGTGGGAGGGGGGGTGGCCGGTGGGTGCGGTGAGGCTCTGAGGCCTCTTGGGGTATGAGAGGAAATATCAAAGAGCCTGGCTTAGCAAGGAGGGAAATTAACTCTCGTGGGTCACCTGGCATGCCTATAGTATCCTCCACCAGGAAGGACTTAGGCAATGGCCTACAGTTGTCTTATTGTGAGGACAATCAAGTGGTTCACATGGATGCTGTCTCCTAACAGGCCTGTGTGACAGCTAAATGCCCAGCTATAGGATAGCGGATGCTGTGATTCAGAGATTTTTTTCCGTGTTTGTGTTTTCAGGACATTTCCTAGCTACCAAGACATATGTATGCAAGCTCAGCCATTCCTTTGAAAACCAAAGCTAATTCACTCTATCAGAAATGAGCATTGTTTGGGGCATGAGAGGTATAGCCACGAACAAAAGAGATATCAATTCTTGCCCTCCAAGCTCATACATTCTTGTGGGTAGTCAGGGAAAACACAAAATAGGGTATTACTTACAGACTATAATGGGTGGTGATAAGTGGTATTTAAAAGAAAGATGAGGGGGGCATAGGGAGTGTCAGGGAAAGGGTTGAATTTGATGGTCTTGAAATATCCAGGTGACTGGCAATACACAGACGTAATTTTAAATATCCAGGAATTTATTTTCAGTTCTCTTGTAGCTATTCATATTGTGTTCATAGCAATGTTTTTCTATAGTGCATTGTAATTTTTAAAGCACTCTCATACCTATTATTTCCACAGTGGAAAGGGAGTGCCTCTGCCAGTTTCACGTACATAAGTACTTAGCTCCGTTCAGGACTGGATTTGAGCTCTATTGCACTGGACTTAACAACACATTTAGGTGACTTACTGGAAAAGTGCTCCTTAAAGTTCTCACATTGAACTTTATCAGTCACTCCATCGGGAAGCCAAAGGGCAAGACGCCTCCCCAATGGCCTGGAGGACTCTTGAGAAGCTCTGGAATGAGGAGTCCTTGAACACAGCAGCATGCTAGTGTACTCTTCCACTGTCTGGGATAGGTTTCTCTGTCGTGGAAGCAACAGAGAGCCTTTGTAAACCATCACAGTCATGTACACAGGGATACTCCACAGTCATTGTCACGCCCAGGTGCTAACACCCCATCTCCAACTCAGCTGTGCATTTTTCCTTGGGCATCCTACTTTCACACCAAAGTCATTCTGTCTAAATGAAGCTCACCCTCCTTGCTTGCCCCTTCCATTCTGGCTTCTTCTCTTGAGTCTTAAATCTTTGAGCACTCCTTAGATACCCCTTTGTGTTCCCCCTCCATGTAGGAGCTTGTCCATTCTTCACATCCTTTCTTCCAGTCACCTCTGGGCCAGGTCAGGACTTACAGACTCTGAACAAATTTCTGAATAATTACAACGCCCTCCTCTTTGGTCACTTCAATTTCGGTGTCATTTTGAATGTTCAGCTGCTCACCCTTCCTGAGCACAGACATCATCCCCTTGCCAGACCCATCTGCAAATTCCTTGCAGGTTTTCGTTCTCTGTGCTTGCTGCTCATTGCCCCTCCCACCAGTCTCCAATGAGAAGAACCAGTCCCTTCTCTCTTTGCCCTCTCTAAATCTGACTCATTCATCACATTCTTGCTCAGAGGCAGCCTCCTCAAAGATAGGCTTGCAGATAAAATACAGGACACCCAGATAAATGTGCACTTCAGGTAAACAAATACTTTTTTACCATAAGCATTTATCAAATATTGCATGGGATATACTTATTCTAAAAATACTATTCATCGTTTATGTAAAATTCAAATTTAACTGGACATCCTTTATTTTAATTTGTTAAAACTGACAACTCTACTGCAATAAGTATTCCTTGGCTACTCTGTGTAGTTCCCTGGGCTTGATGCCTGCGGAAAGCCTATAGCACTCACATCGTTGAATCTTTGTACAAGAGGGTAGGGTATAGGTGGTAAATCAAAAACTACTGCTTGCATTCTTGGAATCAGTGATCACTCAATACCTACTATGTTTTAGGAAATGTGTGAGGCATCCTGGGTGCAAAAATAAACATAATGCCTGTTCTCAATGGTGCCTGGCAAGAGCAGCAGGCCTCCCTAGCACACAATTACAGTGCAGCATTTTGATGGCCACTGTACTTGCTATGAGCTGACTTCTTGGAGGAGACAAGTCTTGAAGGATGACTAGGGAGGTAGGAAGAGGGTGTCTCTGGACAGAGAGAGAAAGATAGGCAGAGACCCAGGTGAGAGAGAGATTAGGGTATGACCAGGAAGTTGGTAGAAAGTTCATTGTTGTTCTCGAGGAAGTGTGTCTATAAGTAACACGTGGTGTTGTCTGGAGGTTTGGTCAGTATACATTTCTCAGCATACCACTGAGGATGAAGTTTGGAAGGTTGGACAAAGACCAGATCATGAAGATTTTGTAGCTCACACTTATGAGGCTGAGCGTTATCCTGAAAGCTGTGGAGAACCACTGCACCTTTTAGAGAAATGACACACTCAAATGTATATTTCAAGGAGGAACTCAGAGAATTGCTTCAAGGGGCACGACTGCCAGAAGCGATACCAATGTGGTGGCAGCTACAGTGGTTCCGGGTAGAGATGCCAAGGGTGCTGGGATTTAGGGGTGGACATGTTCAGGAGATCTGAAGAGCGTAAAACATCAATGGGACCTGTGGCCAGATTGGACACGTTAGGTGATGGACTGGGGAGGAGTGAACATTTCTGGCATGGGCACCTGTGGGGATGACAGAGATATCTATCTAGGTAGAGGGTATAGAAAGTTAAGCAGGTTTGAGGGGGTGAGGATTATGAGGAGATCTGTCTGAACGTGTTTTATGTCACACTTGGCATTTATTATATTTGGTTGTATTTCGTTCCTCATCTTTTCATGTGCTCTGTTGTCTCCCCAGGTGTACTCTGATCCTTCTGAGGTCTTGGACTGCATTAACCAACCTGGGGATGCCCCGGAGACTTTAACTCGTTACCACCCCTTGCAAGTTCACCTCACCACACGCGGCTATGTGAAGCCCCAAGCTAAGGCTGCCAGCAGCTGTAAGCAATATGGTCTGCGTCGTTGCTCATGGCAGGAACTTTGAGCTGGGACACAGTTTCACTCCGTAGATGTATTTCTCCTCTGAGGGAAGCCTAACACCCGAGCTGACCTTGCCCCCTTCTGAAAGGGAGGACCATATCTCACAGTGGCAACAGGAGGCTGCAGGTCAGTGGGGTGATGACCGGGCCCTCAGAGACCCTGCTCTCTCTCTTTACAAAACCCCATAAATCCTTCCAAAGGGAGTAATTCCCTCAGGATCAAGAGAGTCCTCCACATTCCTAAAATCAGTGAAGGCAAAATGTACAGGGATTTCTGAGAAAAGTAAATGTGGTGTGAGCATGATCCCTGGGTGTTACTGTGCTGCAGAGAAGGCCCCCCCCTTCTCCCCCCGAATGGTGTTCTTTGCTCTCAAGTTAACTCACGCACTGGACTTGGTCCAAGTACATTTTGTTTCTTGATTTCTAGCCAGGCTTCTCTCAGTTGTGGTGCATTCTCCTCTTTGCTCCCCTCCCTCCCCCGCCCCCTTCTCTCTTTTTATAATTATTTCAGCTTTTCCATGTGACTGAACTGATACAGAGGAAAACCCACCAGCTTAGGTAGGGCTTCCACCAGAGTGGGGCCAGAGGGACTCTGTGAACGGCCGGCCCCTTACTCAGCAATGGCCTGCATGGCAAGGTATGTCTAAGAGCAGCTGAAGCAGAAAGCGTTTGAACTCTGCCCCTGCCAAATGACTTCCAGATGTGTAAACTCCAGCCTCCCTCTGCTCTCTGACTGTAGCCCTGCCAACATACATCTGCAGATTTCTGGTGCACAGGAAACATGAAAGAGTATCTTCTACAACATCTGTTCTCTTTCCCCAGCTCCCCACTCTGTCTTCTCGGACTTTGCCCTATATTTCATCTCCTCCTAAACAAAGTCATTAAGGAATCACTGCACAACTTGCCTTGGCCCATAGATGCCATCTCCCCCCTTCTCCCCCCAGAGGCTCTTCTTGGCTCTCTGGACGTTTGGCCAAAGCAACACTAGCATCATTAAAGACACGTATTGACTTGCTGCAGGAGACAAGAACCAAGTTTTCTCTCCTGGGCAGGTGCCACTCCATAAGCTGCAAAGGGAGATTTTGGCCACAAGGAGGACCGAGCAGAGACCTGAAGATGAAAACACGGGTCTCCATGAAGAGTGTGCCCGCTTACACACCCTTGGGAGAAGGTGAGATCTTTAGGAAGAACTTTTTTCTATGGACATTCAGTTTCTTGGAACAAACCAAGCAAGCTTCTCTAAAATTGGAAGCATTTATGTGCAGAATGGGTTCTTTGCCTCTCCTCCAGCCCCTGGGGTATGGCACCTATCAGGCTAAGAGGATAGAAGAGGACCAGTTCTTAAAGTAACTCAAAGGGGGATGAAAAAAGTCAGAAACACTTTTAGCAAAATGGAGCAGGAGATTTTTATGGAGGCATTTACTCTCATTAAGAAAATGATTTGACTGACTGTGTAAATAAATGCTTGACCTTCATTCTGCCCTTCATCCATATGGACCTGAAACTCTCTGGCCCCATCCCGGGGGACATGGAATGGAGCCAAGTGACCAAATCTGGGACAGGGAACTAGGGTGCACTACAAAAGGGAGCAGAGAGTTGAAGGGCCCTTTGGGCTCCAGGGCCCGAGAAAGGAGCAGTTGCAGGTGAGAGGTCCTTGCTGCCCCAGGTCCTGTGTCATAGGCATGCAGGTCCACCTGGGAGCCTGTGGAGATCGCAGAGGTTAAGGAGATCTGCTCCTGATTTTGCACCCAGGGTGAGCCTCCCAGGAGGCTCCAGCGGTGACTTCCTGGACCCTGGATAAGACTGCCCTGCCCTGTAATCTGAAGGGCAGAGTGGAGAGCGGGTAAGATGTACGTCCTGCTGTAATAGTCCCGAGCACCTCCGTCTCTGGCTCTCGGATGGAGGCCTAAGATTTGGCTGGATTTTGCTACAGTAGCCTCCCTATTTGAAACAAACAAACAAGCAAATAACCAGTCAATACAAACCACACATTGGTCTCATACTTCAAGTAGAACTTGTTGCAGAAAAACAAGTGGAAGAGATAAAGCTCTCCCTCCATCTGTGTCTTTCCATGCAACTTCCCCAGAGACATTGGATTACCTCAGTAGTTAGAGTACTCCTTCCTAAAGAAGAGCAGAATCTGTAAAGTCTTTCATATAAGGATGGATGGGTAAAAAGGGTAAACAAGCCTTTTTATTCTGCCTGAGAACTGATCTTCGTTTAACTGTGTAGCTCTATTACTTCGGCAACCTCTTTGGGAATGCAAACTATACCATATTGCTGAGGATAAAAAAGATCCCTGACTGGACTGGGGAGCTGTATCTGGAGTTGGTGGAATTATAAAGAACCACAAATTTCTGCTAAGGACACCATGTTTTAGGCTTTCCTAAGTGTGGTGACATTTGTGATGGGCACCCTGTAGGGAAGTTGGAAGCTATGCCTGGGACTTGTTACAGGAGATAATGGCCCCTTTGAGGAGTGAGGATTTTAAGTCAGGTTAGCTCCCATACTTGCCCACTGTGGATCTCATCCCTTGAGCCTGAGCTCTCCCTGGGGAGAAGTCGGTGGTGAATGGCTGTGTGGGCTGATATATGGGCTTTCAGTGAAGGAAACCACTGATGCTGTCCTGCTACTTGACCTGTGGTCCTGCCTCACATCCTTCTGGGTACACCACTTGTGGCCTGTGATCGTCTTGTGAGTGAGAGTGTCTAGTTGAGGCTAAGAAAATGCTCTTGGGTGGTTTGGAGAGTATAACTCGTTGCCTGTTAAGTTGTCTCCCGTCTCCTTTGCAAAGATAGACTAGTGGGTGGAAGACATACTTAGGGGGCCAGAAACCTGTGGAACATGCCTCAGATCACACTCAGAGGACATACTCTGTCTTTAGGACTTTCAGCCTCACCTAAAATGATGCCCAGGAAGAAAATGGTTGTTATCTGATTTTGCTTTGCATGTACCTATCACCCAAAGCTGTTGGAACTATAAATGTCACAATGACCTCCCACCTGGCCCATTATAAAGGCTCTAACTTCAGAACTCGGGGAACAGGTGTGAAAGTTTCCATCTTCTAAGTTTATCTATTCCAATTATAAACTCAGTTAGTAGAGAAATAACTAATGATTCTACTGTGAGATGCATATGGACCAGAATTTCATTTGTCACCTATTCTCTGTACTTTTCTCTAATGAGAGAAGAGTAGCAAATGACATTTATGATTTCTTGGTAGCAGTGTAAGGTCAAGACATCTCTGTATTTCCCTATCTTCCACACAGTTGCCCTGGTAAACAGCCACAGGTCACTTTCAGGCAGGAGGGAAGCAATGTTTATTGTATATATTTGTAATAGGCTTGTGGGGCTTTTCTTCTAGGAAGACTGCTTCTCCTTCATTCAACATAGACATACCTTAGACATACCTTGCCATGGGCTTACTTAGCCCATATGTGTATGTGTCTGTCTGTGTCTCCTTTAAAAATTAAAAAAAAATTTTTTTATTTATGAGAGAGAGAGTGTGAGCTGGGGAAGGACAGAGAGAGAGGGAGACAACAGAATCTGAAGCAGGCTCCAGGCTCTGAGCCATCATCACAGAGCCCCACGTGGGGCTTGAACCCACAAACAGTGAGATCATGACCTGAGTCGAAGTGGGATACCTAACCAACTGAGCCATGCAAGCACCCCTGTCTGTCTGTCTGTGTCTCCTTGACCTCCATCCCCCATTGCTTGACTTCATGTAATTGATTGACTAACCTTTCAATTTCAAATATAATTTATTGATGTGTCATCGATGAGTAGAATTAGCCCAAATGGTATGTTTAACTTCACTACTCGACTAGGGTACCAAAAGAACATGTGATGTGGTAGAGGGAAGAAAATATGGTGGTTTGAGTGAATACGTTTGTGATTGCTAACACATTTGGCAGGTTGAAATGTTTATGTTGTCAGGCAGTTAACTCCTGAGAATCAACACGGTTGGATTATGAAGCCATTGAGCTGTATAGCCCCTGTGTAAACAATCATCTCCAGCAGGTATGTGACCATGGAGGAATGCAGGCCCAGTGTTACCATTACAGGTTTTCAAGATAAACTGAGCGTTCATTTCTGGGTTTTCTATTCTGTTCTGTTGATCTGTGTGCCTATTTTTATGGCAGTAGAATTATGTCTTGATCACTACAGACAGCCTAGGAAGCCATATGGAGGTTCCTCCTAAAGTTAAAAAAAGAATGATCCAGCAATGCACTACTAGGTATTTACCTAAAGGATACAAAAGTACAAATTCAAAGGTATCCATGAACCCTGGTGTTGATAGCTTTGCCAGCAATAGCCAAATTATGGAAAGAATCCAGATGTTCATTGACTAAGGAATGGATAAAGAAGATGTGGTATGTATATACAATGGAATATTACTCGGCCAGCAAAAAGAATGAAATCTTGCCATTCATAATGGTGTGGATGGAGCTAGAGAGTATTACTCTAAGCAAAATAAGCCAGAGAAAGACAAATACCATAGATTTTACTCATAGGTGGAATTTAAGAATATAAAAAAATGATCTTAGGGGAATAAAAGAGTGAGGCAAACCAAGAAACAGTCTCCTAACCATAGAGAATAAACTGATGGTTGTGAGAGGAGGTGGGTAGCGGGGGGAGGGATGGGTGAAATAGGTGATTAGGAGTGCGCTTGTTGTGATGAGCTCCCGGTGTGGTATGTAAGTGATGGATCACTACATTGTATACCTGAAACACTGTATGTTAACTAACTGGAATTGAAATAAAAACTGAAAAAAAAATTTAATTGTGGCTCCTTAAACACACACATAGAATTCCGCCCCCCCCCCCCAAATGTCTTTGGGCCAGCTTTGCTCTACAGGCTGCCAGTTTGGGGCTATTGGCATAAATAGAAGAAGGGGAAGATGAATCAGCCTTTACTGAGCACTTACAGGCCATTGTTTTTGACCTCATCCTGGGATAAATGTATTGTCAATGTAATTTTCTTTATGAAGAAACTGAAACTCAGGAAGGTTAAGTAACCTAAGGTTGAACAAGAAAATTGTGGCAGATTCAGGTGGAAGTCTTCAGATGCCTGAATCTTGACTCTTTCCACCCTATCAAGCCAAAGTCACTGCTCTCCATGCTGTGAATGAGCTTTCAGTTTTCTTCAGAAAGTTTCTGAGCTAAAATTGAGGTATGATTGAACTGACTCTTTTCCTCTCAACTTGGCTACCCAGTGGTGTAAACAAGACAGACACAGTGACGTTTGCAGTTGTTGGGGAAGCATCCTTGGTGTGGCTTCTTGGGGAGTGCTCCATGGTGTCTCATCCTTGTGTGCACAGTAGCTTCCTTTCAACTGCAAGTGCACCCCACACAAACTCTTCACTTCTGCTTTCCCCCACAATGGCTTGAACACCCCTGTTAAGAAACATTATGGGGGTGAAGGAAATTCAAATGAGGATAACATTAGGTTGGGAGCCCAGGATAGATGAACTTTTCTGCCTTGTGTCTTACACCTGGCAGTGCCTATGATCTTGTTTGGTATGCTCTCTGTCCATAGTCCTGCTCCCCAATTTGCTCCCCCAGGACAGTGAGATTGTGTGAATGGGGGATTTGTGAAGTGGTGTGAATGGGGCTCTTAGAAATGAGGCCAAGAAGGCTTAGTTAGACCCACAGGCAATCAGTCACACCAGCTGCTTGTCCCCTTCTAGTTTGTAACCTGAAGAGGCTTTTTTGTTATTATTCTTATCATTTATTCTAGCTGTTCTTTTATAAGTCTTTTCTTAATCGCTTCAGTCCGCATTTCTCCCTATTCTTTTCTGTTACTTGGGGCTTTATTTATTTTTTTAATGAATCTTAAGAATTTAAAACTTGTATGTCTTATACCTGGTTTGTAGATTGAATTATGTTTTTCATGATCAAAACAACATTGCCTGAATTCTTCAGAGTCAAAATAAATCTTCTACAAAATGGAAAATTACATAGTTAAGTGTTTTCATGGTCTTTGTGTCATTGAGAATTAATATAAGAGGATGGCAGAGTTAGTAATTTGGCAGGTAAGGTAACTTCGTCCTGATTTTGGAACAAGTAACAGGCTTGGGTACTTTTTTTTCATGCAGTTCTGGGCACACAGAAATGTCTGACTTATATATTTCTATTCATTTTCAGTTTAACTGAAAAAAAAGAGCAAAC